AGGGGTAGTCTTTGCCTGGCTGCCATTGAACTGTGTCTAGGGACTTTTGGCTGTCCTATTCTGGTGATGAGGTCATGGTATTCTACTGGCACCTAGCAGGCAGAGAGGTCAGGAGTGCCACTAAACAGATTGGTCAGGACAGCCCCCACAGCAAAGGGTTATCTAGCCTGAGGCTAGATACCAGTGGTGCTGAAGCTGACTTACCCTGTCATAGGTGAGGAGTTGAAATCAACCCATTTCATGATGATCTAAAGGGATTTCTTTGTGCTTTAGGAGAACTGGGTCTCCTGTAAACAAGAAAATTTAGTGGCAGCTGAGCTTCTTTGGGATGGTTTCTTGTCTGAAGCCATCTTGTGCTCTTCATACCATCTTCTGTTGTCTGGCATAGGCAGCTCACTGAACAGTTGGTGTTGGCTAAGACACTTGTGGACACTGTCAAGTTACACAGGAGGAGCATTTGAGGACACTCTTCTGTCCTTACACTTTCTCTCATCCTTCAGGAACAGTCCTTGCCTGACACTGAGGATTGTGCTGGGTAACTGGATTTTCTGTTTTGTCATTTTTCTTACATGGCATTCCTGTGGAGAGTTGAGTTTTCTTTTTTTTTTTTCCTTGTTTCCTGTTTTTATTTGCATGCCACTTTTTAAAGAGAGGGAGAAAGTAAATAAATAAATTTCAGTGAGTAGCAAAATGGGAAAAAAAATCTGGGAGGAATTAGAGGATATGAAACCATGATCCAAATATATTACATGAAAATATTTCAACAAAGAATTAGCAATTGCTACAATTTTTTAAAAAAGAATGAAGAACAAAAAGGGAGGTAGAAAAAGATAGGTGAGTTGGGGGGGGGGTAAAATGACCAATATGATCAAACAATAGCATATAAAATTCTCAAGAAGTTAACAAAGTGAGAAAAATAATAGTCTTGTCATAACAAAGACAGATAGGTCTTCTGTTGATTACTTTTTACAACAATGAAAGGTTAATAGAGTTATTATCATTTATCAACTGCTTTGCTATAAACTTGAAATTTACTTTTTTTAACATTTATTTTTATTTAAATTAGAAACAAACCTGCTTCACATGGCAATCCTAGCTCCCTCTCCCTCCCCTCCTCCCCCGACCCCCACCAAACACTCACCCCATCCCCCCTCCACTCCCCAGGGAGGGTGAGGCCCTTCATGGGGGATCCCCAAAAATCTGTCATATCTTCCAGGGCAGGGCCTAGGCCCTCCCCTATGTGTCCAGGCTGAGAGAGCATCCCTCCACGTGGAATGGGCTCCCAAAATCCATTCATATGCCAGGGATAAATACTGATCCACTACCAGAGGCCTCATAGATTGCCAAGGCCTCCTCACTAACACCCACATTCAGGGGGTAGAATAGTCCTATGCTGGTTTCCCAGCCATCAGCCTGGGGTCCATGAGCTCTCCCTTGTTCAGGTCAGCTGTTTCTGTGGGTTTCACCAGTCTGGTCTTGGCCCCTTTGCCCTTCACTCCTCCCTGTCTGAAACTGAGTTCCAGGAGTTCAGTTCAGCATTTAGCTGTAGGTGTCTGCCTCTGCTTCCATCAGCCACTGGATGAAGACTCTAGGATGGCATATAAGGTAGTCATCAATCTCATTATAGGGGAAGGGCATTTAGGGTAGCATCTCCACTATTGCTTAGGTTGCCAGTTGGTGTCATCCTTGTAGATCTCTGGAAATCTCCTTAGTGTCAGATCTCTCCTCAAACCTATAACGGCTCCCTCTATTATGATATCTCTCATCCTGCTCTCCTCTATACTTGCCCCCCTCAACCTTCCTGCTCCCCCATTTCTTCCTCTCCCCTCTTTTCCTCTTCTCTTTCTCCCAGCTCCCTCTCCCCTCCTCCCATGCTCCCAATCCATTCAGGAGATCCTGTCCCCTTCCCCTTCTCCAGGGTCTCTCTTAGGGTACTCCCTGTTTCCCAGCCTCTCTGGTGTTGTGGATTGTAGGCTGGAAATCCCTAGCTCCATGTCTAAAACCCATATATGAGTGAGTACATACCCAGTTTGTGACTGGGTTACTTCACTCAGAATGGTTTCTTCTAGTGCCATCCATTTGCCTGTGAATTTCAAGATTCCATTGTTTCTTTCCCTGAGTAGTACTCCATTGTGTAAATGTACCACATTTTTTTTTATCCATTCTTCAGTTGAGGGGCATCTAGGTTGTTTCTAGGTTCTGGCTATTACAAATAATGCTGCTATGAACATAGTTGAACAGATGTCCTTGTTGTATGAATGTGCTTCTTTTGGGTATATGCCTAAGAGTGGAATTGCTGGATCTTGTGGTAGACTGATTCCCATTTTCCTGAGGAATTGCCATACTGATTTCCAAAGTGGCTGTACCAGTTGGCACTCCCACCAGCAATGGAGGAGTGTTACCCTTTCTTCACATCCTTTCCAGCATTTACTGTTGTTGGTGTTTTTGGTTTTAGCCATTCTGACCAGAGTAAGATGGTATCTCAGAGTTGTTTTGTTTTGCATTTCTCTGATGGCTAAGGATGTTGAGCACTTTCTTAAGTGTCTTTCAGCTATTTTAGACTCCTCTATTGAGAACTGTCTATTTAGTTCTGTCTATTTAGCTTTCTATTGTATAGTTTTAGCTTCTTTGTCAAAAATCAGGCATTGTATTAAGTGAGTTAGCCAAGGCACAGTGCTATGAGTAAACAGGCTGACTTTAGCAGTGTCTTATTCAGAAGCCATGCTCCCGACCACTTCACTGACCACTTATCTCACAGGGGAGAGTGCCTTACACAAGTTCTGGGTCATGCCTTGTCTCTTGAGAACTTTCTTCTGGACTTTTAGACAACCATCTACTTTTTTAAAAATAATATTTTTATTTTATGTGTTCAGGTGTTTTGCCTACTTATGTCTGTGCACTGCATGCTCACCTGGTGCTCATGGAGTCTAGAAGAGGACATCAGATGCCCCTGGAACAGGAGTTACAGACAGTTGTGAGCTACTGTGTGGGTGCTGGGAACTGAAATCAGGTCCTCTAGAAGAGCAGACAGTGTTCTTTTAAATGATGGAGCACCTCCAGCCCCCAAACACCCTTCTTCTTACATGTCTAAGTCTCAGTGTGTACATGTGGAAAGAGAGTAGGCTGACGTGGATCTGAGAGGCATGGCACTAAGGACTCTACCCTTGTGATCACATCTAACTTGATTGACTTCCTAGAGGCTTCAACTCCAAATGCCATACCCTGGAATTTGAATTAATGCTTCAAAATACAAAATTTGGAGGAGAATCAAGATTTAAACATTCAATCTCTATTCATGACTTATTGCTTGATACATGGTTTCAGAGTAAGCTTAGGGTAAGACGACAGCTAGTGAGAGGTAACATGAGGGAGCCTTCTCTCTCTCTCTCTCTCTCTCTCTCTCTCTGTGTGTGTGTGTGTGTGTGTGTGTGTGTGTGTGTGTGCGCACATGCATATTTCTATGTATGGGAAACAAATGAAATGATTTCTGAAGCAAAGGTAAGTAAGAATTAGGCACCAGTTACTTCCTGAGTATCCTAGCATTGTCTGTAGCTGTGAGAGACCTCGCACCTGTGTCCTAAAGATGGGACACCATGTACACTGCTGCTGCCACACCATCTTTTTGTCCCTCCCACCTGCTCATTCCCAGGAGGAAATCAAAGGCAGGGGAGGATGAGGCTTAGATAGAGGTCTGGGGCCCTCCTGGGGTGCAGATGGAAGTGGAAACGGTGAACCTGGGGAAGGTATTCAGGGAGACTGGAGAGTAACAAATGGAGGTAGGCTGGTTGTCCTTGGAAGTGTATTTATGGAACAGGAAGAGAAATGCGGGTGTGAAACATGGCATCATTGAAGGAAACCAGGGGTAAGAAATCATAGAGATCAAGAAAAGAGAGGGCTCCATGGGATTTCCTCAGATGAGATGCTGCTAGAAAGGGCTAAGAGGATGAAGCAAACATGGTTGTGGATTTAACAAATAGAAGATAGCTGGTAGCTTATTTAAAAAAACTATGGGAAGACTTATGTTGTTAGTCCTCTAATCTATACTTTGTATCTCAGGATATGGCACAGGCATTCATTCTGCAGCCCTAGAGAGGGATGTGGGAGTAATCCTATAAGCATTTCATACTTTCTGTATTTAAGTGGTCCTCAAGACCCATGGACACTATCCCTAAATAATAATACTTCTCCTTCCCCATGATTCCTGTCTATTTTCCACGCCCTTGGCCATTCACACTCTCGACTGGACTATAGCAGCCTGCTATCCTCTCATTACTCAGCCCTCCTCTCAGTGATTTTTCTAAGATATATCTGATTGTATCAGTTCCATGTTGAAAAGAGGGATTCAGGGAGTCCTTATTTCCCATAGCTGATATTTGTAACCTAAATCTAATAAGAGAAAATGATTTAGGAATATGGGAATATAAGCATGCATGTGGATCTTGGCAAAAATATAGCTGTAAGCAGACACTCAAGATAAATCTAGCACCGCAAATGGTTTAATGCACTGAGTCCAAACTCAGGGTTATTTATGAGCAAGTCTGGGTCAGCTGGTTTCTGACTGCCAAACCAATGCCCTGAGGAGCTGTTCTTTCTTCTCTAGCCACTTAGGACCAGCAATACATATATGATGGGCAACTTCCAGAACATGCCACACGCTGCCTCTTTAAAGTATTTATATGGTTACTCTCCTTGCTAACTTGCCAGGCAACCCTTTCTTCTTTCTGCCTTCAGGTGTCACTTGGAAGTTTTTTCTCATGAGTACCCTTGAATAGCCCCTCTTCTCGCCTGCTCCTCTAGCACTCACTGTGCCCTGTTAGAAGCAGTAGTTATCTGTCTCTCCATATGGACTTAGGGGTATGGCTGTGTCTTTACATTCATGCCTGGGACCTATGTACAGTCTGTCATGTAGAATAATATAAACAAAAGGACTGATATGCTAAAAAAAAAAAAAAACTGGATGGCTTTTTTTTTTTTTTTTTTTTTTTTTTTTTTCCTTTTAGATGCCTTCAGTCAGACCACGGAATGGCTGAAAGAGTCTATAGATGAAGAACTCCTTTCTGAGACTGCTGTATCTCCTGGAACTGAACAGAGTCCCACACCAAGCCTAAGCCCTCTGTTGGTGCTAAATAATTGTTACTTGAAACTACTTCAGTGGGACTATCAGACAAAGGTCTTACCAGAGGTGAGTGGCTTTTCCCTCCACCAGGGTGTCCAGCATTTGAATTCCTAAGTCCTAACTCTGAATCAGATGACCTGTCTGTGTTGCATATGGTGTGGCAACTATAATCAGATAAAAATGAGAGTATGGATATGACGTTGCTTATTTTACATTTTCATGGCATTGTGCTTCCCTTTCTATTTTTACATTTTACATAAATATGCTAGACACTCTTGACAGATGGAACACGGCTTCAAGAACTGACAGAAAAGCTGAATCAATTGAAAATGATTGCCTGCTTGTCCCTAATTACCAACAACATGGTGGGTGCTATTACAGAAGGCCTGCCTGAGCTTGCAAACAGGTTAAAAAGGATTTCAGCTGTTCTACTCGAAGGCATGAATAAAGAGTAAGTTCTTTATGTATGTATCTGCCCCCTCACATATGAAGGTTCTGCATGTGTTTCCCAAAACAGGCAACAACCTTGGCCATGAGGATGCTCCAGTCACTACTGGCTTTAAAATTTCTCACACCACCTTTCTACTGTGTCTTTTAGCATCTCAAAAGTTGTAGATGTCCTTTCATGGAAAGGCAGAGGTGTTTCCCCTTTCAGTGGTGTGCCCAAAAGCTTTTCTGTGACAGTGCTGTGGAAAAAGCATAACCAGAAATCCACAGAGCCATGTGCAGAACTGTGTTGTCAAAGAGGCTTTTCCAGATTTATGGGTCTACTCTATCCTTTTCTTTCATAAGATAATTATTGACTTTAATGGAGCCAAACTGTGAAGGTTTTAAAATAGAGACACTTCTGTCTAATGTAAGCCTAATGAAAGCTTTGCTTTCAGTTCTATCCCACTGAGACACTGTCACAGTCAGAAGACAGGTCTTGTCACTGTTCCTGTGGCTCTTACTTGGCTCAGTGCCCCCTGATGCTTTGCCTTTCAGTGTTTTTAGGCCCATGTCCTCTGTTCCTACCACCGAAGGGACATGCACTTGTCCTTCCTTCTGTTAGAAAGAACACGACCCATGTGGTAAAACCCAGAACAGGAATCTTATGTGGCTTGGGATCCATACTTCTCATTTTGGGCTGAAACTCAAAGGATAGGGTTTGTCTTGGTCTGTGTAAGTGGAAACAGACAGACTAAGCCTTGGCTTATCTCACTGTCCAAGGCCCTACCCTTTTACTGACTCTGATACTGACACACACCTTAGTTCATGTCTCAGGACCCAAGACCCACACAGAAACAACACCTTCCTCTGTCCTGGTCTGTCTCTACATTTCTTTGCACTGGGAACTGTTGCTTTCCAGAAAGGTTTTTTTTTTTTTCATTAGGTGTTCACTGAGCATCCAGTGCTGCCAAGTGTTATTATGAAGCATATAGAAACAGTGTGTAGAAGCTAAGGCTTTCAGATCAGGTGACCGGGTGAGACTCAGCTCTGTGGCTGCCTTGTTAAATGTGACTGAGAAGTTCCTGAGCACTTCTGAGCATTATTTTCTCATGTGGAAAGAATAATTGGGGCTGGGAAGATGGCTCAGTGGCTAAAGTGCTTGGTTTGCAAGCATGAGAACTGAGTTTGGATCCTGCAGCACCTGTGTAAAAGTCAAGCATGAGGAACCATGTCTGTAACCCTGGGTCTGTTCAGCTGAACAGAGAGAGAAATGAAACCTGGTTGCTCGCTGTCCTACAAGTCTACCTAAACTAGCTAGCCCCAGGTTCAGTAAGAGAGTGTAGCTCAAGAAGGAAGGTGGAGTGTGGTAGAGGAAGACACCTGAAGTTTATCTCTGGCCTTGACATGAACACAAGTGAGCATACTCCCCCACCCCACATACACAGGAAATGGATGATCATTTTCCCTAGTTTGAGACTGAGAATAAAAGATGACACCTAAGTGTCTGGCATACAGCATGTACTCAGTGTATGTTAGTTATTAATAACTGTTTAGGTGTTCAGTCGTCCTCCTTATTTCACGTTCTACTGGCTGTTTCATATAATGTAGAAACATTCCTGCCCAAGTACCTACCTTATAGAAGGAGTAACAGCATTTGTAATATAAAACAAGTAGATAACCTCAAGTCACCATAGACCCAGATGTCATTTGCATATGATTTGGTGATCTGTCACAGGGGCAGGTAAGATTTTGCTTTTTATTGTGAATAGGAAGCCTTGGTTTATATAAAATTTAATGTTTTCCTTTAGTTTAAGAACTTACTAACTAAAAACAGGAGAAAGCTAGAGCTTTACTCTATAGTGGTTTAAAATATCAGAAAGAAAAGATTTTATCAAAACAATCTATCCTTGTGTGACAGAGCCTGAGAGGGTAAGTCCAATGTGAGAGTACAGCAGATTAAGAGAGTAAGCAGTTAAGGCAGAACAGCAATGGTCCTGTACCACTTCCATGCTTTTCTCACTTAGCCCTTACTGTCTGCATGACATTCTGCTAGTGGTAGCTCTCAGGCATATAGCAAGTCCAGTGGTAGAGCCTGGATTTGAACCATGGTCTTCACAACATCAGACTTAAGTCCTAATTTCTCCATTATGCTACCTCCTATCACTAGGTTACCTATGGTTCTTTAGTTCATATTTTTCACAGTGATACATAAGAACCCTTTCTATATAATGACATCATTTTCAATTATTCTTTAATAGTGCAGACTAAAAACATCCTCACCAACTCCCTCTTATTGATTAAATGACCTACTCCTTAATTAATGTTTATACTGTCTTGACTATGTGTTTGCTTGTGGTTTTTTTTTTTTTTTGCAGTTTTAAATTTGAATTAGAAAAAAAATTGTTTTACATGACAATCCCAGTTCCCCCTCCCTCCCAACCTCCTCTACCACCACCACCCCAAATAAAACCCTACCTATCACATATCCTTTCTGCTCCCCCTGGATGGTGAGGCCTTCCATAGGGTGTCATCAGAGTCTATCGTATCCTTTGGGATAGGGCCTAGGCCCACCCCTGTGTGTCTTGGCTCAGGGAGTATTCCTCTATGTGGAATGGGCTCCCAAAGTCCACACCTATGCTAGGGATAAGTACTGAACTACTACAGGAGGTCCCATAGATTTCTGAGGTTTCCTCACTGAAACCCATGTTCCTGGGGTCTGGATCAGTCCCATGCTGGTATTCCAACTATCAGTCTGGGGACCAAGAGTTCCTTCCCTCTTTTCAGGTCAGCTGTTTCTGTGGGTTTCACCAGCCTGGTCTTGACCCCTTTGCTCATAAC